CTTTCACAGGACTCATCAAAATTCAGAAAACTTGAAAAATAGTAAATTACTGGTGGTAAATACTACAAAGCCAACAAAGTTATGACTGAGGAGGATAAAACCAAACTTTATTAGTGCCAGTTTTAAGTGGAAGGAATCCAAATAGGAGAATTAGTCTCAGTCCACAGCATGAGCATATAACCTGTATTTATGGTCTTAAAATAAATGCTAATTCTCTAGTTTTAAAAAGTGTCAGTGGTACTTGGAACATGGCTTAAGTTCCATCTGTGAGATGTGTAATTTTGAGATTTGCATGAAAGGCAATGCAAAACTGCACTGCTGTGGAAAGCTTGTGATGAGAATACCAAGGGGGACAGGGAACTGCAACACGTTTTTGTTGCAGAAGTATTGTTGATAAAATACAGTGAATTTCGAAGAATAAATGTTAGGGGCAAAAATAGCTCATTGCAAATGATATACATTCGAGTACCAAATGTTTTAGGCAGTACATAACGGAAGTTTTCCAGAAAATCTCATCATTTAGTTGATCTGAGATACAGCCTAATCTCACTTGCTCTCATTATTGGGGTCTTCATAGCTTTTCTTTTTTTTTTAACTGAGTTTTATATGGCATGAAATTATACTCCCTGAGTCTAGTTTTCAGTACCAAGTAGTGCAATTCTTTCTCCACATGTACGTTTTGCTTGAGGAGCTTCAAAGTCTTCAAACCTGTTATGATAACCACCTTAGCTGTGCCACCCATCCAGCCCTGCTGTGCTGCTTGGAACGTAGACTTGGCAGTTAGCTCATCCAGCCCTGCTGTGCTGCTTGGAACATCGACTTGGCAGTTAGCAGGAGAAAGTGTCTCTTGCTGTTGGTGTCATTTGACAAGTTGGTGGTGTCATTACTGCTGCATTAACCTCCTTTCTTCTGTTCCTGTTTTACTGTAGTAAAATTCTGGGGTGTAAAGGGTGTGTAGGCATGGGTGAGTGAGTAAGGCAGGGTAGTGAAATGGAAAGAAGTGGTTCAGGACACCTGCTAGTAGGTACAGTTGTCACTAGCCCAGGTTAGAAACAAATCTCACCAGTAATATGGTCTTGGGAGAGGAATGTACAGATCCATTTGTGCCTGTGGAGTTTTCTTTGCCATGTAGGTATGTTTAATGTATTTCTGCTGCATGGGTTTAGCCAGTATGTTTAAGCTTTTAAGCTTTCTTACCAGCTGCAGAATATTCTTGCTGAACTTTTCGTCTGCTGAAAGGATATATTTTTGCTGCAAGAAAGTGAAAGACCTGGCAATGTGCACTTGCAGCCCAGAAAGCCAACCAGACCCTGGGCTGCATCCAAAGCAGTGTGAAGGGAGCAACTCTCCCCTTCTGCTCTGCTCTGCTGGCACCACACCTGGAGCATCCAGCTCTGGGCCCAGCACAAGGACAGGTCCAGAGGAGGGACACAGAGGGGATCAGAGGGCTGGAGCACCTCACCTGCAAAGACAGGCTGAGGGAGTTGGGGCTGTTCAGCTTGGAGAGGAGAAGGCCCTGGGATGACTTTAGAGCACTTTCCAGTACCTAAAGGGGTGACAAGGGAGCTGGAGAGGAGCTTTTTACAAGGGGGAATGGCTTCAAACAAAAAGAGGCTAGGTTGGGGTCAGATATTCAGGAGAAATTCTTTACTGTGTGGCAAGACACTGAGCCAGGCTGCACAGAAAAGTTGTGGATGTCCCATCCCTGGAAGCATTCAAGGCAAGGTCAGATGGGGCTTTGAGCACGTTGGCTTTGCTGGAAGGTGTCCCAGCCCATTTCAGGGGATGGAACTAGATGATCTTTCAAGGCTTGTCCAGCCCAAACCGTTCTGAGATTCTGTGACCAGTAATGGCTTTTAGATAGAATTAAAACCCTTTCTTATGAAATGGAAGAACTTCTATGTGCCCTAAACTGAATTCTCACTTTTGCAGAAGGACTGAGGTAGATCTGTTTAAAGGCACTGAAGAAATAAGAGCAAGAGATTTCTGAGACTTCCTCATTAGGGTTGAGGAAAGGGGATTGATTTGCCTGTAATATTAGTGTCCTTTTTTATTTCTGGGGTTTTTTTCCCCAGCTCTTTGTTTGAAAGATGCAACTAGTGATCAAAGGCTTGTTTTCTGTCTTCCACTCTGTAAAGATATCTGTGTAATCCCTTCACAAAACCCTTTATTGCCAAACATGTAGATCATATTGCAGGCTCTCTTCATTGTTGGATGAATTTGATTATCCCAGCAGTTTTCTTCCTGTTTTCTGTGAATTGTGTGCAACACAATGATAACTTGCTTAAAATAAATGCTTAAAAGAATGGAAATGGAGAAGGCTAACAGACTGTGAGCCTTAATGGTGGTAAGATCTGTGGTAAATTCCTTGCTGAGTTAATCTCAAATTCTAATACATGCTTAGAGTGATTTAGCATTACTGGTGGTTTCTGATATTTTGCTGTTGATTTATGCTTGCTTTCTTCTTAAGTTTGGAGGGTAGTTTTGATTTTGTTATTAGATACTAAACTGTTCTGGTAGGCAGATTTGCTAATGAAATATTTCTGTCTGTTCACTCCATAGCTAGAGATGATTGCCATGGAAAATCCTGCAGACTTGAAGAAGCAATTGTATGTGGAATTTGAAGGAGAGCAAGGGGTAGATGAAGGAGGTGTTTCCAAAGAATTTTTTCAGCTGGTTGTGGAAGAAATCTTCAATCCAGATATTGGTATGTGTTCTGATAATTTACTAATTTAACAGATTTTCTCACAAAGGATTGGCCTGGAATATCTTAGGTGCCTTCCAGTCTGGATTGTTCTGTGTTGATGCATTGTATTTCTATATCTACTGCTGCTTCTCTCTAAAGCTCTTCAGATTCATTGATCATGAGAGTACTTGGTGCACATTGAGACTCACTGTGTCCTCATCAGTCATCCTGAGGAGGAATGACAAAGGAGTGTAGTTAGTGAGAACTGTCATTGCCTGTTCAGATACAAATCAGTAGCATAGGGTCTCTCTGCAGGGTTCCTTGGTTTGTTCTCTCACCTTACCCTCACTTTGCTTTGTGATTAGCTTCTAGAGTTAGTAATCAAACCAAACAGGAAGAGCTTCTGCCATAAATTAAGAGTAGGACTGTGGTGAGTTTTTGAGTTATTTCCTCCCTTTCCTCCAGCTTAATAAATCTGATAGTCTCAGTTCTTCTAATGAGATCACCTAAAACTGGTACAGATCCAAAATGTGGCAGTCATGTCAAATTTGATTGTAGTGAGTTAAGAACCAGGAGTAATTTGATAGATCAGAGCCAAAATTTTATGTTTTAACAGTCACATTTCCATCTTACTCTTTGCCCTTGCAAAAGATGCTTCCATCTTTATACGTGCAAGGACATGGTGCTTTAATATGCAGTTTCTCTGCTACTTTCAAAAGATTGAAATGTTATAAAATGACACAAATACTTTGTGTTAGAATAGAAATGGGACTTGCCAAGTTCTTCGACTAATTTCATCTTTTACATGAGTTATGGTGTCACATTGTGCTTCCTGTCATGGCTCCCATTAAAGAAGCTCAACAGCTCATGGCCATTAGTTAATTTGGTTTCATGGGACTGTTTTAAAAAAAAGAAACCTGCTGTTCTTTGTTTCTTCATCAATTTTCTAAGCTACAAAACCGAGAAATCCATTTTGAGTGGGATTAATAGCAAGTCCCAGAATCAGTAACAGTATCCAAACCTTGGCACTTGCCCTGCACCATGTGCAAGTCAGTTCAGGTCCATAGACAAGTCTCACTCACTCTGAAAACTGTTGTTAACTTAAAGAGATTTGGAATCTAAATTAGCAAGCTGACTTGGAATAATTGAAAGTATGACAAAATAAGGAAATCTTAGTACTGTGAGTGATGAAGTTGTATTTTCAATGTGAAATAAATACATTTTTTACCTGAGTTTATCTAAACAGAAGTTGTGTGGGGGCCTAGAGTGAGCCACTCTTTTTTAGTAATGTTCAAGTCTGCTTCAGCTCAGATCCAGCCAGTGTGTACACACTGCCTGTGTGCAGAGATGGGTAATAGATCAGATGTGGATGTATGTTTGGCATTTGACTTCTGTAAATACAAAAAACTCTGCACACTTTTTGTACTCATAGTCCCTTTGGGAGGGGAAGGGCATTCATGGGCTTTTGGCATTAATGTATAGAAGCAGAAAGTGCAGCTTCCGTTCACAGTCTTCTTTTTCTTTGGCACCTGTTAATATGCTCTGCAGTATAACAGTTTATGTATGTCCATATGTACCAAGCATGGCTTTTGTTGATTCATAAGCATTTTATTCACCAGAAAAAATGGAAACCCTTTAAATGGAATTTAAAATGTCTGTCCTCTAATAGGTCTGTGTGAAGTGATGTATATTGTTGTAATAGTTATTTGACTTTACATTTCAAGTGTTTTCGTATTAAACTACTTAGAGTTTTACTCAAAGGAGGCAACAACTCAGAGAAAATATTAGATTTATGACCAACAGTCACCATGTTAAAAGGGAAGAATGGATAACTTCATCTACTATCCCTAGCAGCACTGTACAATTGTTCTCCCCTTGTTACAGCTTCCACTTTCATCTGCTGTTTCATTATGATTTTAATGGATTGTAGTCTTAATTTTGGTCAGGGAATAAAATACTTCATTTCACATTGAAGTGTTTGCAGATGTGGATCTGGGTAAACTCTTAATCCTTCCTTTGCAGTTCGTTTGCTTACACTGAATGAGAAATCAGTCTGGGCTGAAGGTGACATGCTCAGTCTCAGGAGTAATTTTGTGGCTCTGTTGATGTGGCTTTGTAATCAGTTTGCACATCTGCATAGGTTGTAGATGAGCACACCTTTGAAGAGCTGACAAGTAAATCCTTGTGGCAGATGTGGTTGATGTTCCTGACCACACAGATCTAACTGCTGGTGTTGGGAATAAGGAGCCTGGGGAAGTTTTTCTTAGGTTCTGCCTGGAAGTCAGGAGTCTTAGCTGTACAAGCAGCAGGTCACTGGGACTGTACTTTTCCAGGGTGGTCTCTCTCTCCCCTTAAGGCTATGGGGTTTACATTTTGTACTTTTCCAGGGTGGTCTCTCTCTCCTTAAGGCTATGGGGTTTACATTTATCTTGCTTCAGTATCTAGTCAGGTAAGTAATGGATTTTGTTGTGGGATTCATTTAAATAATTTAAAGCCTGTGCAGGAACTCTGATTTCATAAGCAAGAACTATCAGGTAAGTAATGGATTTTGTTGTGGGTTTCATTTAAACAGTTTAAAGCCTGTGCATGAACTCTGATTTCATAAGCAAGAACTGTCATGTGTCTTGCTACAACCCAAAGGGTCAGGCACACTTTGCCTCTCTCTGGTCTGCACAGACATATCCACTCCCTGCAGCTTCTGGTGTGTGCCAGTTCAGCTGTTGGTTGAAGTCTTCAGTAGAACATGCCCAGCTTGTGAACTGGCCAGGGAATTGCTCACCTGAAAGAGTGAAGAGAGGGAAACAGCAAAACCACTCCATTTTGACAGGGACAAGCTGTTAAAATTGCAGCTCCTCCTTGAAAGAGTCCCATGTTACATCTTAACTTGAGGGGAAGTGGATGTGATATCTGCAGTAACAATGGTTCCTGTCAAGTGCCTTTAAATAAATAAACAAATCTGTTGGGCATCTAACTCTCAAATCATATTTGATGGTTAATCCCTGCTCCCTTGTCATAACAGGACTCCATCTAGTCCTCTTCCATTGCTGGAACTGGCCTGGAAACACCTCTGAGGAAAGGTTGTCACTCTTTAGTCACTGGAGTTCTGCAGGATTGTTACAGCCACATGGTTTTTGGTTGTGTTCTTTTCTTGCACTCTTGTATTTATGGAATTACAATCCATATTGACACTGTGCTGCTGGTTCCTTGGTGATGGAAGGGGGTGGAAGGCTGTGCATGTGTAGCTTCAGGGGGACACTGCAGCTGCTGTGTCACTTGCAGACTTCAGTGGTGATGTGAGTAACTGTCGTGAGCAGCTGCAGTGACCCTAAGGTCAGTACTTTCTCTTTGCCATTAAATTCAGTGTAAACATGTTTTAAAGGCATTGTAGTAATGCAAATGGGTCTATAATGGTTATGTTAAGTGCCATTTTTATTGAATTTTAACCACAGTGGTGGAACTTTTTTTTTTTCTTTTTACAGGGATGTTCACATATGATGAATCTACAAAACTGTTTTGGTTCAATCCGTCCTCCTTTGAAACTGAGGGTCAGTTTACCCTAATTGGCATAGTTCTGGGTCTGGCTATTTACAACAACTGTATCCTGGATGTACATTTTCCCATGGTTGTCTACAGGAAGCTAATGGGCAAAAAAGGAACTTTTCGTGATCTGGCAGACTCTCATCCTGTAAGTTCATTGTGTTCTTTGTGTTTATGATTGTATTTTCCATGCCATAGCTTAAATCTAGATTTAAATTAAACCCAAGATCACTGTCAGAAGTGGAACTGAAATAAATAGTGACTTGTCTGAAGAGTCTAAACTAAATTCATAAGCAATAAAACATCTTGCTGCATCTGGTTTGAAGGAGGCAGAATCGTAAAGTCAACAGAATCACAGAATAATCAGAGTTGGAAGGGACCCTTGAGGATCATCTAGTCCAACTCCTGCCCTGCACAGACATCCCTGACAATCACACCCTGTGCCTGAGAGCATTGGCCAAACTCCTCTGGAGCTCTGTCAGCCTTGGGGCTGTGACACTGCCCTGGGGAGCCTTTAGAACAAACAGGGCTGAGTATCAATAAAGCTTTGGTTTATCTTTTTTACTTACTGCCTAAATTACTAAATATCACTAAGAACTATTAAGCATAAATAAGTAATAGTTATATCTTCCCAAAGAGACTTGTAAAGTTAGGCTGTTTGTAGCTATTTGTAGAAACAGGTTTTTATACAAGAAAGATAAAGGAACAGGAGACATGCAAAGGTGTGATGCTCTTACTGGGTTTTGGCTAAAGCAAAAGCCAGATGAGGCAGTTAATGAATGTCCTGCAGTTTGGGAGCAGCAATCAGTGTCCATTTTCACATACCTCTCCCAGCCAGTGGCTGTGCAAAAGCACTGAGCTATCCCCAGACAGGGCACAGAAGTGTATGGACAGGATGTCTTGGTCCTGCTCCACCTGCACTCAAAGGCCACTGGTTGCTTCCCCTCCTGCTAGTAGGAGCTGTTAGTCTCCTTCCTTTCATTTCAGACCTTGGGACAGTTCCCCTTGATAAGCAGTTATGCAAAATCTTCATCTATTCAAAACAATGAGTAAAACGATACTGCTTATAAAGAACTTGCCTTTCATTTTGGTTTCATCAGAAAATGAGGCATGTGTAATCAAAAAAATAGATTATTGGTCTGCATTGGGTGGCTGCATCCAACAGTGTGCCAGATCCAACCAGTTTCTCTGTAAAATGAAGTTGAGAAATACACAGTGCCCTGACTTTCCTGTAATTTTTATTCCATACTCAAATCTGTTTGTGACAGAAAAATTGGATTTATTTCTATGCAACAAGGCAGTCAGGGGATTTCCTATCTTTTCTTCCCTGCTCTTGTGTTTCTCCTCTGACACCTACAGTGACTTCTTTTAAACTAACGTGACTTAAACACTTGAGAACTTCTCAAACCCAAAATGAAATTTGCAGTAGTTAATCCTCCCAATGCTTTTTCTAATGCTGTAGAGCATGGAGAGAGGATGTTCACCAGTCCTGACCATCATCAATGGCCATAAGCTGAGACAGGGCAGAGTCAAATTGGATGTTAGGAGAAATGTTTTTCCTGTAGGATGTTCAGGCACTGGAATATTGCCCAGGGAGGTGGTGGAGTCACCATCCCTGGAAGTGTTTCAGAGGTGTCTGGATCTGACACTGGAGGATCTGATTTAGGGTTTAGTGCCTCCAGTAGAGTGGCAGGTTAATGGTTGGACTGGATGATCTTAGAGGTCTCCTCCAACCCTGATGATTCTGTGGTTCTAAGGGAGTTACCACTCCTTGCTATGTTTCCTATTTATCTCAATGTCTGCTGTTGGGTTTTTTTTACAAATACAGAGCTTAATAAAACATTGTTTGGACTGTTACGGGAGATTTTGGTGACTTGTGTCATGGAATATAACAAACCTTTTTTGAGGCAGATGATTTCATGTCTTCTGGTGTTACTCAGTGAAAGCTGTTGAAGCTGATTTTTGAGAGACATGTATTTCTTCTGTTAGGTTCTTTACCAGAGTTTGAGAGACTTGCTGGAGTATGAAGGAAGTGTGGAAGATGATATGATGATAACGTTTCAGATATCTCACACGGATCTCTTTGGCAATCCAATGATGCATGATTTAAAGGAAAACGGTGATAAAATTCCTATTACCAATGAAAACAGAAAGGTGAACTCAAACAGCTTTTTTAACAGCATCTGTAATTCTTAGACATACTTTGCATAGAATTATGTAGCACCTTATATATGTTTGATCTCACTTGCAGTGTTAAAACCTTTTAAATTTGCCATAGCACAGTGTGGTTGTAAACAGAAAAGGTTTCTCTTAATTCTGGGGCTGCTGGGTGTGGGGCTTGACCTGTTCCATGAACGTTTGAGATTTGTTCTTTATTGCTGCTGAGTAGAAGCTGAGCCCAGAATATCTATGTGCAATTACAGAGCTGTGTGTATTTTGGGGTCTCGTGTTTTTGGGGGGTACTTGAAGTGGTACGTGTCGAAACACTAAGGTCTTCTGGGGTTTATTTCCTTGCAGGAATTTGTCAATCTGTATGCTGACTATATACTCAATAAATCAGTAGAAAAGCAGTTCAAGGCCTTTCGGAGAGGATTCCACATGGTGACCAATGAATCTCCTTTGAAATATTTATTTAGACCAGAGGAAATTGAATTACTTATTTGTGGAAGTAGGGTAAGAATTCTGAATGCACACCAGAGTGTGGAGCTTTTTTTTGATCCTAAGTCTGTAATTAGTGGTCATCTTTAAAAATATCATCTTCTTACAGAATTTAGATTTTCAAGCACTAGAAGAAACTACAGAATATGATGGTGGCTATACAAGAGACTCTCTTATTATTAGGTAATTTTTTCTACTTTCTGAAAGATGAAAAGCACTTTATCTGCCTGTGTGTCCGTAATGAATTTAATCATGTAAGATTTAGTATTGTGGTAGATGCGACTGTCTTATGTATAATTTCATTTTGCTCAAGTATTGTCATTGAGCAGGTGGTGTAAGCATTGTCTTTAGCTTGCAGTGAACCTTGATAAAGCTTAAAAGGGATTTTCTCCTGGATTTTTTGTCTCGTACCATACGTTTAGCTAATCCTCAGTATAAAGAGTAGTGTTTCAGTAAATTACCACTGCTCTGCTGTTCTGAAAAAAAGAATCATAAGCACTGAATTGTTTGAATGTCACATGTGTAGAACTTTTCTAATTACAAGTCAAGTAAATTCTATGTTTTTAATGTTTTTACCTTCTTATCCCCTTTGACTGGAGACTTGTCTGAAGACAAAGGTCAGGAGTGTGCACCATTGGTCCTCTAGACTTTGGCACCTACTTAACTAGTTTCTGCTTGGGTAGAAAAGCCTTTGACAGCAGCTGCATTCGTTTGCTGTGGTGTAGAAGAAGGTGGTAGAAATGGACAGTCGAATCAGTGTAATTTCTTAGGAATAATCAAGTGCAGGAAGAATATCTGCAGAACACTAATCAGCCAAATTAACATTCACAGAGGGTTAAATCGAAGTGTTTGGGTAATCCTTCTGATTCCTCTTCCTGAATCTCATTGATTGGCAAATACATGGCTAGTTTTGGTTTGTGAATGCAAACTTAGTGTTAAGAGTGATTAGAATTGCTAAACCTTGAATTGAACTAGAAGTTCAATGATTTTTGAAAGGGTCATTTATACCAACGAACGTTTTCAGCTTCCTTACATTTTGATTTCTTCCTTGCTAGGGAATTCTGGGAAATAGTCCATTCATTTACGGATGAACAGAAAAGACTATTCTTACAGTTTACAACAGGCACAGACAGAGCCCCTGTGGGAGGACTTGGCAAGTTAAAGATGATCATAGCCAAAAATGGCCCAGATACAGAGAGGTAAAAAACCCAAATTGAAATCTACATTTTGCTGTTTGCTTATAAATGGGAGTGAATTCTGTGCTTTCAGCATATTAATGTAATGAATCTGAAACTTAAATCTGTACAAAAAGCAGATTTTCTTTAAATTCATTCTTCTTGAACTTGTGAGTTAGCAATGCATTTCTTTGGCATGTACTGCATGTTCCCAGATCTGAATTCTTTTCTTGTTTTGTTTTTGTTTTCCCCCACAGGTTACCTACATCTCACACATGCTTTAATGTACTTTTGCTTCCGGAGTACTCAAGCAAAGAAAAGCTTAAAGAAAGATTATTGAAGGCCATCACATATGCCAAAGGATTTGGCATGCTGTAATCAATATAACAAAAGGGATTAAAAAATGATGGTGATGATGTCCCTGTCCAAAAAGGCCATAAGATAGTGAGCTACAGTAGTCACCTGTGTTTGTGCCTCCCTTCTTTACTGGGGACATTGGGCTGGAACAGCAGATTTCAGCTGCTTATATGAACAAAATCTTTATTTTTTCTTTTAGCGTGAAAGTGTTACATATTCTTTCACTTGTATGTACAGAGAGGTTTTCCTGAATATTTATTTTAAGGGTTAAATCACTTTTGCTTGTGTTTATTACTGCTTGAAGTTGAGCCTTTTTGAGTATTTACAAGAAAACAAACTGTACTCTCCCAAGGAAAATATTGCCATCATTTGTAGACCATGTAACCTTCAAGTATGTGCTATATTTTTGTCCCTGTATCTAATCAAATCAAGAACTGTACTTTTTGAAGAGTTTGCTTTTGAAACTTGAAGTCTTGGAAAACAGTGTGATGCAATTACTGCTGTTCTAGCCCCCAAAGAGTTTCTGTGCAAAATCTTAAGAATCAATAAAGATGGAAGGGAGAACTTGGAATGTTAAATTGCAGCCTTGAGAACTTTACTTTAGTCACAGCACAACAATTAAAATTCATTTCACTATATGTTGTCTTCACATGTCTTGTAATGAACTGTGTTTATAATTAGGAAACATTTCTTAGCATATGAAAGGGTAGAAATTTAGTTACTTTTTTAAACAAAAAGAAGTTTACTGGGGAAAGTGCATTTTCAATTGAACAGCTTTAGAGTAGGGAGTAAAGTGTCTGGAAGAAAAAAAAGATAGGAAGTTTTTGCTATATTATAAACAAAGCATGTGGAAGTGCACTTAAAATGAAGTTTTATTCTTAATTGCCTATTATGTTGACATTCTAAATAGACAATCCAAAGTCTTCCCTACATGTTGTGTCATCACCATTTATTTAATGAATCGTTTTTCCTACCTATCAAGGCACATGATCAGTGTTGCAACATAATCTAAAGGGATGGCTACTGTGTTTTAATCTCATCTAACAATTAGCAAAATTGAACAATATTAAACATAAGGCCTACTTCATGTTGTACACTTCCAACCATTAAATAAACTGTTAGAGAGTAAGTACTAAGGTTATGTTCATCTACTCCATCAAGTATTCAGTAGGTTTTTAATTTAACTCTACAAATCATATCAGAAATAAATCCTTTACCTTTTGTAGTCTGTGTTTAATGTTAATTTCTCCTGTTGCAATGCGCTGAAGGGATCATGTGTTTTGGAGTGAAGATGTAACTGGCATATCTCTCTTTACAATACAAGCTGCAGCAAGAGTGCAGAGCTGAGCTTGTGCCTTGACAACTGCTCTAACCAGCTACTACCAATCAACCCCACGACTCTGTGGAATTGGCATTAAGAGGCATAGTTTTGAAATCACTGGAGAAAGAAAAGATGTCTTTCAGGACTATTTTAATAAATTCTTTCTAGTAATAGAAACAGACACCTGTTATGTAACTATGATGCTGAATAAAACAATGACCTTTTTTCACCATGGTTCAGTGGAAAAGAAAACTAAGTGGCTTCCTTACTTTGGGAAATTGGATATTATATGATTTGATTAGAAAAATGTTCTAGTATGGCATAATTTGAGGGTTGCAGGTATGGAAAAGTCTCCAGAAATGAACTGTGGTGACGAGTCCTGCGATGTTCCCTTCTCCAATCCGAGCCAAAGTCAGATGGACATGGGGACTGAGCCTTGCTGGGGAGGGAGAGATGCTGTCTGTCTCCTGGTCTTTGATCTGCAGGTGGCCCTTAGGGCAGACCTTCTTGAATGTCCACCCTGTTGCATGTCCCTGAAGAGGAAAGCACAAGATCCCCTACTCTCAGCAGGGCAGTTCACATTAGTTCTTGCTGAGCCCTTCAGATTGGGAGCACCTTCTACTGTAGGTGGTGAGAACAAGGTTTGCTGAGTGCCTTGAGGGGTTGCCTTGCAAGTATGAACACATCCTGATCCTGCTGTGTGGTATGTCAATAGTCTGTATGTCAGTAGCCAGTACTGTTAAGCTGTTTCCCTGTCACTTGTTTTATTCTGGTGGAGCTGTGGATGGGGGTTGTGCCCAGCTGGTAGCTCTATATGCTTCATGTTGGGGTTTTTGCATAGATCTGAAAGCTGGGCAGGCAGGGTAGTGGGATAGCCACACAGAGCTCTCTGACTGAAGTGTTGACATTGTAAATGTGCTTTTTCTGTTCTCTTTTAGCATTAAGAGTAAAATAACACATAATTGCATTGGCCTTTAAAAGCCTAAGTTGTTTTTCAAGGAGTCGTTTTCAGGTAAGATAAGTACTTCATATTTGACTGATTTCTCATTTAAATATATACCACCTCCCCTGAAATACCACTGTAGTGAAACCTTATCTGCTTAGTGGTGTTACAGGTGTGCTAATTGTGCAGCAGCAGCAGTTGATAACATTTAAAATAAATAAATCTTGAAGTCTTCTGGCTGCAGGCTGGTACAGACATTCCAGTCAGCCTTCTGTTGCTTGAAAGGAAAAATGCCATTTTAAGTTGGTTTGGAGTTTTTTTCTGGGCTCCAAGCACACCTGGAATGTCTTTCACCCTCACTTAGTCCTTCAACAGTGCTTAGAATATTTGAGGTTTACAGAGCTTAGTGTGGAAACTTAGGAGTCACTGACATAACTCTCTTGAGTGAGCCAAGATTCCCCTTCCAGGGCAGCAGTGTGATGGCAGTGTGCTCTGTCCTCAGGGTGTCCTTAATATGTTGACAAGAATATATGTTGGACACCTCAGCATTACCTCGTTTGATGAGTGAAAAATGCCTCTTTGAGTATCTCCTTCTGCACCCTAAGAGTCTGCCAAGATATTTCCAGCCTTGGTGCAAAGGGCTCATCAGGCTTTTATCTGTGTTTTGTAGAATCATATGCCTCAAAAACCACAGCAATGCAAGATACACTGAAAAGAATCATCTTAATATGGCATTTTCCCAGATTTCATTAGGAGTGAAGGAAAGGTATTCCCTGCCTCTCATCCAGTGAAGCTTCACTGCTGAGACAGGAGCTTCATACCCCATACAATAGCACCAGGTGTGAAGGACCTGCTGGGCTGAGCCTCCAGGTTGGGCTGCCCAGACCTTGCCTGGGTTCTGTGCTATGGAACAGGGAGTTGGGCACAGGTTTCCAGGCTGGTGATGTTCTGGAAAACAACTCCCACATCATCAGCTTTAAGGTGTTTCCTTGGCACTGTTGTAGCCACTTCCCTCTAGGTAAATTTTTAATCTCACTCAGAGGATTCAAAATTTTCTGGTTGTCTCAAGAATTTTCAGGATGAAGGTGCTTCATTTGGGTGGAATGTTGGAGCTGTGCTTTATTTATTAGGCAGAACAAGTCCAGTGTTTCAGCATGCAAGATGGAGCTGTAATTTCTTCCAAGTTTAGCTATGCAAAGTCAAGCCTTTCCTGAAAAAAGCTTAGTTTACTATGCTGTGTCACAAGGGTTTGTGATAAGTTGCCTACAGTTTATGCTTGTGCACAGCTTTGAGCACTTCAGTAATTTTGAACGCTTAATTAAAGTTGTCACCAAATCGGTAAGATCATTCGGGACTTGTTTTAAGAAATTCAGTTTTATACCATATCATGGAAGGGACAGTGCTTAGGAAGTAAGTTGATGCTGGCATTTGTCTTTAGGCAGATCACTTCTTACCTGGATGAATCCATTTGGAAAACCAATGAAATGATGTCACAATATTTTTCTCTAGTGCTCCACGTAAAGATGCCTTCAGCTGTTGATTTTCCTTTGGAAAACCAATGAAATGATGTCACAGTATTTTTCTCTAGTGCTCCATGTAAAGATGCCTTCAGCTGTTGATTTTTGTTCTTTTTCATTAACAAAATTAAGAAACATGTCTTGCTGCTGGATTTCTCTGAGCAGTAATTTTAGGAGGTACTTGCACAGCTCTGAGGTTTCTGTCTCCATAGCTTTGCCATGATGAAATCAGCAGGGCAGGGGCTGCCTGCAGTCCGAGGGCTCTCCTGGCACTGCCACTGTGTCCTGATGTGCCACCTTGTCACTGAACGTGGGAGTTTCCCTCCTCCTGTTGTCCCAGAAGTTTCCAGTGTGTCTCCAGTTGAGTGTCTAGTAAGTGCCTCGTGGCCAAGTCTGAAGCAGGACAGCTCACTCACTGCAGGTGCACCAGGGACTGCTCAGCCTGTGGAAAGCTGCAGTGAAAGAATCCACAGGGAGCAGGAAAAGCAACTTTTTCTTAACATCTCCATGGGTTGTGCCTCCTGCAAGCTTCACTTTTCCTTTTTTTTTTTTTTTTTTACAGAAAAATACAGTATTTCACTTGGATTCAAATTCCCATTTCTCTGAAACTACTGTGTGGAATGTTGGTCCCTCTTTGGCAGTGGCTGTTTTATGGGATGGGTCCTGGCTGGGAGCTGAACTTGGCTGGAGAAGTCACTGGTGTTGGCTGGTGGGGGCAGCAAGTTAAAGGGTGAGATGGGAGAGGAAGGGAAGAGTCAGGAGAAAAAGGTAACTAGGTGGGAAGAGAAGCAGTTGGAAAGCAGATTTTTATTAAGAAAGCAACTAGGGAGGAAGAAGGAAGTGGAGTTGTGGTTTTGTTTTATTTAACTGAAAGGAGAGTTGTAAGGGGTCTTGGTAAGGCAATGGATGGTGGGAAGGTGGTTTTAATTGCAGGTGTGCAGCTTTCCAATGTGCCAGTGTAGTTTTGTTCTGTTCTGCAGTATTTGTAGGGTACATCAAGAGTGCAGTCCTGATAAATAATTGAGGTTTGCCTAGCATGCTTGTGTTTATGGATGCCTTGTTCAATATATATCCTGCTTTGGGATTTTGTGTGTGGGAAATGTCTAAGAGACAAGGACATTGGAGATGCAAGTAGAGGGTGGGAATCCTTATTCTATTTTAGGACAATAAAATAGCATTAGGAACTGCTCCATTCCCTTGCTGGGTAGGTTTGTGCCTAGTTTTGAGACTTGACAATGAGACCAGAGCTGAGTCTGAAGGTCAGACAGTGATTGCTTGAGTTGGGCTTCTGCCTTTGGAAGGACATTGAGCACAGCTCAGCTGTAAAGCACTGTCCATGTAGGGATCCTGCTGCTCCTGTGGCCTTGGCTCAGCTAGTACCAAGCAATGTCAGATGAATATAAAAACTGCAGCAGCCTGAAGATCTGTGACTGAGCTGTTGTCACGTGCAGAGCTGATGTGGAGCCTTTCCTAATATATCTGAAAGCTCTGCTGTTTGTTTCTGCCATGCCAGTGGGTTCATGGACAGAGAAAATCCCTTCTATCTGTATTCCCACTGCGTTCTTCTGCTTCTAGAGCCATACAGGACAGCAGTGCAAGCAGCAATGCTCACAGGTGACTGTCTGTAAAATGGCAACTGGTTGAACTCTTCTCTCTGAAGTTTTGAGCTGCCATAGTTCATATGTACATTTGATTTAGTTATTTTCCTTTGTGAGCACTCAGCAGCAAGAGGTAAAGATCAGCTGAGCTCATACATTACAATCAAAGGGACTTTATTTCATAATAGAACTGAT